TGAGCACTAGCACTTTTTTAATATGGCCGTTTTCCCAGACAAGATATATTTGTTGACACTTCCCCATACTTTAGAAGTTCCATGTCCGAAGACGATGCACTTGATGCAGAGGTTTTTTGCACGCATTCAGAGGCTATATGTTGCATTTGGTAAATTGGAAGTAGAGTTTGGTCAGAGACGTATATTACCATCAGAACTAAAATGTGTAAACATCCCAAAGAAAATATGTAGACGGCATGAGTACTAACGTCCCTGCCGTCTTCTGAATCATGGATATCATACCGGAAGCATATAAAATGGTTTGAGTGTTTCCACCCAGAAAAGCCTGTGAAAAATCCTTGACGTCAAACAGAAGTCTTTTATTCCAGACAAAGATTTGAATGCAACAGGTAACGACAATGGTTTGGCAACAGTATTCCCAAAAAACCTTTCTCCGGGTAACCCAGCAGAAATCCCTTTTGTATAAAAAAATGTTCACTTTTTATATATATATATATATATATATATATATATATATATATATAAAAGTGAATTTATTCATTTTATTGTTTAATTTTTAAAATTAGACGCAATCGTCAGGGCATTTTTTTGTTTTTTGTTCTTTAAAAACATTTATAAAAATTTCAGAAAAAAAAAAAAAAAAACAATATTTATGGCCTGACGATTGCGTCTAGCATGACACAGCCTGTCGCATCTAAGTGTTGACTTCAATGTTGACTTTTATATTTATATACGCTCTATCTCTGATATTGAGCACTTTATCCCATAAATATAGCACACCTTAAGAGTATATTTCTTCATATATATATATATATGTGTGTGTGTGTGTGTGAAAATATATAGAAAATAGGAAGGAAATGGTTAGGTAAATAATCCAAAGTTCCTTAGTATTTTAGTTATTATTTTTTAAAAATAGTGCTCGATACAAAAGTAGAGCATAAATATAATTATTTATTTAAAAATATCGGAAAGTGCCCACATCAAAAACCTAAAAGGTTTAATGATAATCTGAAAGATAATCTGAATGCATTGCACATGGGTGTGCAACATTGGGAAGAACTGGCTTCAAATCGTACAGGGTTGAGGCACTTTATAAGGAAGGGATGATTATGCCTTTAAGGATGAAACAAAAATGAACATATTTCTAGTCATACTAGGTTAACCAATCGACATTAAAACCATATCTATCTAACTATCTATCTATCTATCTATCTATCCATCTCTTTCATTATCTATCTATCTATCTATCTATTCATCTATCTATCTATCTATCTATCTATCTATGTCTCTTCATTCATTATCAACATCTATCTATCTATCTATCTATCTATCTATCTATCTATCTTCTATCTATCTATTTAAGTACATAAATTAGTGGGAAATCTCCGACTGTTGCCGAATAAGTCGGGTTTCGATTACGTCTTGAAGCGATCGGATGTTTAGACACATTGATGAGCTGTGATACAGCGAGACAATCTCTCTGTGGATAACTATATATATATATATATATATATATATATATATCAGTCTCTTGCTATCTATCTCAGTCTGTTCATATTTATCTGTCCCAATCTGTTCCTATCTATCTATCTATCTATCTATCTATCTATTCTTTTGTCTATTTATCTATATTCTATTTATCTATGTATCTAAAAATTCCCTATCTATCTTCCAATTCTTTATTTATCTGTCTATCTTTTAAATCTCTCTCATTTAAAATCATTTTATATATATATATAATTATATAAATATATATATATATATATATATATATATATATATATATATATATATATGTTTATATTTATATAACAGTGAATAGGATGATATGAAAATGTGTCTTGTTTAACATAATCCGACCGGAGGCAAGTCTCGTCAGATGTTGAACTCTCGTAGGATTTAACCCGCGCTTTGCCAGTGGCCATCTTTGCCCAGCGCGTGTCCCGGCTTTAAGTCGTGTATTGATACTTTGAATGTCGAAGAAAGGACGTTGAATGTTGATAACATAAGAACGGAAAAAAGCGGTAGGAAGGAAAATAACAACGGCTGCATGAGGGATGCTGTCTGATGGCAAAAAAAGGGGGAAAAAAGAAGAAAAAAAATGTCCATAAAGTCAGAAGACAAATTGGATGATGATGACAAAGGCTGCATCTCTTACGTAATTGTCTCCATTCCAAATCCTTCCGTGCTTTAAAACAAACAAGACTTCGTTTTTAGACGGACATTTTTTTTTTTCGTCTCTTGATATATATGTATATATATTTTTTCTCTTTTCGATGAACTAGCCTTAGTCTCTTTTATGTCGGCACAAAAGATCTGCGATTTCTGCTGGGTCGTTTTAATCCTTTATCAAAGGAACTCACGTCAAATCAAACCGAGGATTATCTACTCTTTAGCTTAAAACTAATCTTTACTATTAGTTGCCTTTATGTAACTTATCAATTTAATATCTTTATTTTTGCTTATCCTTTTTTTTTAATACCAGTTTATACTGGCTTGTGTATGTATCGATCCTTGCATAACGTTTCTCCTTCCATTGCATACACATCTTACCTTACCATTGACAGAGCAATTAATATTTTGATTGAAATTTGTGTGTATATCCTTAAATGTTCTCCATATATAATATGAACTTATTCAGATCTCCATATATTTCCATGATAATCAAATAAACAAATATAAAACCATGTAACGTAACGAGTTTCATCCTTCCCGTATTAGGGTAAGATCATAAATTACATCCGGCAGCAAAGGTTTTGAGTAGCGTGGAAACAGTTCATAATTGCTGTCGTTCCCAGGTCCACCCTGACCCGGGACGGTAGCACCTGTTGGGAGTTTCAACAACGTACAAATAGTTAACACTCAAACTGGGGTCAATTTTATAGTAAAAATACCAGTAATACATTTTCATAGTAACACATTTTACTAGTAATACATTTTCACAGAAAAAAAAATACTAGTAATATATTTAAACGACTCACAAATAAACTAATGTTTCAGCCTTCGAAAAGACTTCATCAGACTAAAATAATGTTCTTAGTGCTAGAAGGAGGAAGAGGGAGTGAAAATATAGACAAAAACTTCCGTTATGATTTTATATCGATAGGTACGCTAAACTTTAAATGTTAAATTTCTTGAGTCTGGTGTATGTAAGCGTACTGGTTAGTTGATTATTTTCAGTTTTTATTTTCTTATTTTTTATCGCTACCCATTTTAGATATTTCCCATTGTGATAGTAATGATTTGATAAGAAATGTTAAATGTGGTACGGCCCTACACACAAATTGACCATATTGATTACTCCCCTTTAACCATTTTAACGTCTATTATTACTTAACGAGTAACCTGGCGTTCCTTTTTTAAACTTTAACCTTGATATATTTTTTGACAATAGCTGCCTACCTACATTCTACATTCTGTATTTACACCTTAATATTATATTAAGTTTATATCAAATTTGAGCATTGAATCTGTGTTTAATATAGCGCTCCTCCCAATGAGACAGAATATATTTTTTAGCCTTCAAAAGTAATATTTCCAGTCAATTGATGAGTTGGTAGAACAGCAAAACTTTGTTATTGCATTCAAACGTATTTAATGTATATTTATTAATATATACTTCTTAGCTCTGAAAAACCACACTGAAAACTGTTTTTAAAGCTAATATCTAGTTATTTCATTTAACCACGTTAATATATATATATATATATATATATATATATATATATATATTTGAAAAGTTTCCATATATATGTCAACATAAAGGTATATATTATATCTGTTTCATGTAGAATATCGTCACTGTTTACAAAAATATTTTTTATATTCTCATATTTATTTATAAAAAGCCGAGAAAAAAAAATAAAAAAAATTTCAACATTTTCGTGGCCTGAAATTGCGTCTAGCATGACACAGCCTGAAAAATCTAACCATTGATTTTGAATGTTGAAATTTATATTTATATACGCTCTATCTCTGATATTGAGCACTTTATCCCATAAATATAGTACACCTTAAACCATATATTTTAATATATATATATATATATATATATATATATATATATATATATATATATATATATATATATATATATATATATATATATATATGTATGTGTGTGTGTGTGAAAATATATAGAAAATAGGAAGGAACTGGTTAGGTAAATAATCCAAAGTTCCTTAGTATTTTAGTTATTATTTTTAAAAAATAGTGCTCGATACAAAAGTAGAGCATAAATATAATTATTTATTTAAAAATATGATTCCAAATCGACCTAAGAGGTCTCATGTTTTGAAACATGGGACCTCTTATGTCGAATTTGGAATCAATTTTTAAATAAATAATTATATTATATATATAATTATATATATATATATATATATATATATATATATATATAATTTTTAAATTTGGACAGTAAAAACCTCTATTATACAAGTTTCCTAAAAAAATTCATTAAAAACGACAGAGTGCTTTTAAACAAATTCTCGACTTTACCAATAAAAAAAATGATATTTATTCATTGGATCAAATTTTTATGAAGTCATGTCGGTCAGATAATAACCCTATCAGTATCCTATATATATATATATATATATATATATATATATATATATATTTATATGAGGGATAGTGAAAAGATAGAAGAAAGAAATAATTAATCATTGTCAATCTCGCTTCCGTTTAATCAGAAAGACACGATAGGAAGTAACTTAGATAAAAATGGCGATCGTAGCAACAACAACAACACAACATCCGGTAACCATCAAAATGTCCGTTGTGCATTAAATGTCTAGTTACAGTTAAACAATCGTTTTAGTTTCTCGGCACTTTTTGCCTTTACTATCAGCTGTCTGGCCAATTGACTGGTCTGCTTGACCGGCCATTTTGCCTGCCCAAATCGGAAATCACTTTGATTGTATCAAGTGCTATAGCTACGCGATATTACATTTCCAGTACCCCATTCCACGATTCTCTCTCTCTCTCTCTCTCTTCCA